TAGGAGTAACTCCTGAGCATTGCTGGGTGTGACCCAAAAAAAAAAAGACTGATTTATACCTATGGTCATTACAGTATTATTTATAATAGATAAGCTCTAAAAACAACCAAAATTCCCAATGACAGATGAGTGAATAAAGAAGTTGTGGTGGAGATACACAATGGAATATTACCCTGTTATGAAAAAGATGGAATCTTGCCTTTTGTTGTAAGTTGGCTAAAAGAAATATCACGCTAAGTGAAATAAGTCAGACAGACAACAAATTCTGGAGATGCTGTGAGGTATACAAAGAAACAAAGGAAGGAATAAACAGTGTTCTATGAAATAGCCCCCTGCACACTAACAACAAAACTGAGGTTACCAAGCCGGCAGGGGTGGGGTGGGGTGGGGAATAGGTGGGGATGGATAACAGAAGTGACCATTAGTACAGATGTGGAGAGTTTCAGGCACTTTGGTAATGGTAACTTTGTGCACCAAAAACATAAACTTAATACTACTGTAAACCATAGTACCTTAATAAGAATTAAAATTTTAAAAATTAAGAGTTCAGGTTCCAACACAGAAATAGTAATATTACTCTAAGATGGGATTTTCACCTAATGATGGACTTGGATAAGACAAACATGATTTTCCACATATCCTCAGTAAGTAGGTTTGCAATTTTTCCTCAAAATAATCAGAGATTTAATTAATTCAGTAAATAGACTTTTTGTGAAGTTGGGTATTTAACAAAACATGCAAGGCATAGATATTCTACCACTGACCTAGATCCCTAGCCCTAATCTAAGGTTTTATCTTCCTAAAAGTTGACTGAGATATGAAACAGGGGCTGGAGAGAGAGACCAAAGGGATGTGCATATATTTTACATGCAGGAGGCCTGGATTCAACGCCCAGCAGTCCATGATCTACACAGAGCATTGCTGGCCAAGTACAGGGACAAGAGTAACCTCTGAGAGCTGCTGGGTGTGACCCCACCTGCCCCTTTCACCCCTGCAAAAGGTATATATAACCTCACAAAGCTTTTTCACATGATATTTTATAATCAGATATAGAAAACCAAGAATTTTATTCATTTTTCAAGTTAATCTTAAAAAGCTTGCATTATTCTATAATAACACTTAAAAAAATTGCCTCTAACTTTCATTATCAATTTTGAATTTAAAGATATTTTATTATGATTAATGTATATAATGTTTAATTTAAAAATATATGCTATCATTAGTCAGATGAGTCTTTGTTAAATCAACTATGATAACAGGTACTCAACTTGAGGTGCTGGGATCTCTTTTTATTTTATACTATTATCTTTAGGGATTTATGTGATTGGGGGAGCAGTTTGGGGAACCATACTTGGTGGTGCTCAGGGCCTACTCCAGATTCTGTATTAGAGAGTCACTTCTGAAGGTACTCAGGGACCACGAAGTGCTGGGGATCAAACTTGGGGCTCAAGCATGCAAACTCTTTGAGCTGTTTACCAGGATGTTTAATTTAAAAATAAAAAGAGAGAAAAAGAAACTTGCCAATGACTTCTTAATTGTTACTAGCAAGTAAACACAGCGTCCTTTGGGTGAGCCAGAAACTGTGGCAATAAAGAATTCAGTAAGGACTTGGGCATTAAAGATGGGATTCTAGCTCCTGCTCCATTATCTATTGGGCATGCAAACTCTACACATAACTTCATGTCTTAGAAGCCAGCTTCTCTCCCTTACATGATACCTATCTCTCACAGCATGAGTACTTAGTAGCACAGGCTGGGGACATGTTAGTACCCATTAAACACCAACTAGTATATACAAAATGAGATTTCCATTAGAAAACACAATGAATTGCTTTATTCATCAGTAATTAACTCTGGAACAATTTTATAAAATAATATACATTTTATAGTGGCAAAGTAAGAGACAGGGCTAAGAGAAGTGGGTGCACAGCTAAGAAAAGTAGAAAAGGTTTCATTCAGCTTTGGTACTTGAAGGTTAGGTGCTACATTTATTCCTAAGAGTGGGATTTTCTTTTATTTGTTAAAGTGAATAAGAAATGGTGCTTGTAATAAAAGTTTTAAGATTGCCCAGGATGACCAGAGAAGAACTGATCTGCACGTTGGGTTTTTGCTTTCACTGTAATAAAAAAAAAAAAAGCCTCTTATCCTTCAGCATTTTTTCCTTTCTGAAACACAATGGGAATTTCATTACATGGAACCTGATTCTGTGATGTCTGCCACATCACTGCAGAAAAACAGAAAATGTTTAGGTTTCGAGAGATACCAGCGGGTAGGGCATTTGCCTTGCACGTGGCCAACCCAGGTTCGAATCCCAGCATCCCATATGGTCCCCTGAGCACCTCCAGGAGTAATTCCTAAGTGCAGAGCCAGGAGTAACCACCGTGCATTGCCAGGTGTGACACAAAAAAGAAAAAAGAAAATGTTCAGATTTGAAATCATTATTTCAAAAATTAATTTGGTTTAAAGTGGAAATAATTTCTGAGTGCAAAGCCAGTAGTAACCCCTGAGCATTGCTGGGTGTGACCCCAAAAAGGAAAAATAAATAAATAAATAAAATGAAAATAGGTATTTCACATTTCTGCTCTTTTCTCCTCTTATTCCTTTAGGAACACTGTAATAGCTTCCCCTCTCCCTTTTCTGTTTTTAATTCTTTGTCTTGTTTTATTTTAGGGCCAAATTGGGTGGTGGTCAGGGCTACTCCTGGCTCTTCACTCAGGGATCAATCCTGGAGGGGCTCGGGGAACCATATATAGTGGCGGGGATCAAACCTGGGTTGGCTGCTATCAAAGAAAAGCCCTACCCACTGTGCTATCTCTCCAGTCCTATATCCTTCCACTTTGAAGAAATAAATGTATAGTGCTCATAAAATCTTAGACTGAGATATAAACAGAAAGATCAGTTACAGGTAAAGCATGAGGACCAGAAGGGAACAAACTAAAATCCAATCCAATTCATCAAGGAATCAACTGTTTAACATCCCTTTGGTTGCTCTTCCCATTACAAGTTCGCAAATGTGGACCAGGTTACAAGCAGAGTGCCTGGTGTCCATGGCTGACACCACTCATGGCTCATCCCTGCCTTCTTTTCTTTTTCTTTCTTTTTTTTGCCTTTTGGGTCACACCAGCGATGCTCAGGGGTTAGTCCTGGCTCTGCACTCAGGAATCACTCCGGCGGTGCTCCGGGGAACATATGGGATGCTGGGGCCTGAAATTGGGTCAGCTGTGTGCAAGGCAAACACCCTGCCTGCTGTACTATCTCTCTGGCCCCATCCCTGCTTTCTGAGGCTCAGCTCCACAGTGAGGTGTCATCAGCAACAATGGTGATGTCTTTCCAGTGATTTAGTAAATGCAATCCCCAAAGCTCCAGCTTAAAACACTCAGACCTTTATTTTTCACTGCAATGGTCACTTAAGTTCTAAGAATAAATTAATCTTTTGGGACTAATGATCATCTTGTAGGGAAATACCTTAACTCCACACACTAAAAGTTGCATTTAGAGAATCTCAACATACATATGTATTTTTAAAAAATTTGAAAATAAATAGAAGCAAGGCCAATATATGGTGATAGACCAATCATCAACTGGGCACGTGGGGGTGGTCAGGGGCTGATTGGGAAGGGGCAGGTGAAAAATGATGAAAATGTTCTTTATGTTGAAATGTTTAAGATCAGATTCTACCTTGAGCTCTTTTTGTAGTTTACCATATGTAAATTACATCTCTTAAAAACAATTTAATCTACTTACATAACAAATTCACATTTAAAAAAACCTTGTCCAAAAAGGAACTGGAACAATCATCTAGCTGATAAAGGGATGACAAAACTGATAACATATCTTTCAAAAAGCATTGTAGCTGAATGCAATTTTGATTAACTGTTAATGAGACCATCATCCGCCATGCTTGAACTTGGTTATATGGAAAGTAAATAAAGCTTCTTTGCAATGCCCTATTGGTTAATGGGCTCTATCTTAAATTGGAAAGAAGGTTATTTAAGAACTGAGTACACAACTATGACAGCATACCCACTGATCTGTGCTATTGAGTTAAGTCCAGTTAGAAAATTCAATACAGAACTTCATCCTAAAGACCACAGAGAACTTAAGACGTTTATAGGAAGGGAATTTCCAGGAAGAACGAACAAGTTCGGACATTTCTATTTTCTGTTATACCTTCCTATACACCTGAGTTTGACATTCTGCCCACTGCATATCATATTTGATGAGTCTTTCAAGAACAAGCTGGGACTACAGGCGCGCGCCACCACGCCCGGGCTGGAGCGATAGCACAGCGGTAGGGCGTTCGCCTTACAAGCGGCCAACATGGCCGACCCAAGTTCGATTCCTCCGCCCCTCTCGGAGAGCCCAGCAAACTACCGAGAGTATTCGATATGCCAAACATAGTAAAAACAATGTCTCCAATGGAGACGTTACTGGGCCCGCTCGAGCAAATCGACGATCAACGGGAGGGCCTTTTCCTTTACTTCAAGAACAAGAAGAGTACTGCTAACGAGTTAAAAAACTGGGATAGTAAAACTGTACAGCAGGCAGGGCATTTGTCTTACATGTTGCTAACCTGGGGCTGACCCCCAGCAGCCCATACGCTGCCTAGCACCTCCAGGAACAGTCCCTAGTATAGAGTCAGGAGTCAGCTCTGAGCATGGACAGGCCCCCAAACAAAACAAAACAAACAGTGACAACAACTGGTTCTTCCCTGGCTGATCAGCAGATAATGTGAGCTTCAAAACCTCTTGCGAATAGGAATGTCATCTCCAAAAGACAAGGTGAAGAAAAAGGGTAAATTGAAATGGGAGATAGTTTTTTATCTCTTCCTGCAAAGTGTGCTCAAATGATAAACGCTCACGTATGTTAGTAAAGAGGGCCAGGATAGCATCTGGCTCACAAACAAACTGTAGCAGCTGAAAGAACAATATACCCTGTGACTAAGAAAGGGTCAATCAGAGGAGAGTGCCTTTCCCTCTTCAGGGTGACGGTCACACATACCAGGTCTGGCTTCACACGCAGAGTCAGAGGCAGGGAGAGCCACATGGAGTACAAAGTGGTGAACACCGAAGACAGCCAAGACTGCTGAACCTCACGGCTTCTTGGAATGTGGTGGACATAGTACTTTGGAGACTAGAAGAAAAAAAGGAAATACCCAAATCAGCGAAGCCCCTGACACCAAAATAATGCAGGGGAGCAGCCAACCATTTTCATAAAAAACAATTTCTTGGCTATTTTTTATTCTCATTCTCTCTAATGGATTTCACCACACAATCATTGCATCCCACTTTTTCAGTCCAAAACTTGGTTTGTAACCTTTCATCATGTAATGATCAAATGGTGAATTCTGTTCATCACACTTCCTAAAAGGAGAACAGAGGGGCCAGAGTGATAGTACAGCAGAGAAGGCACTTGCCTTGCACATAGTCAACCTGCGTTTGACCCCCCCGCACCCCAAATGGTCCCCTGAGCTCGCCAAGGAGTGATGATCCCAGAGCACAGCCAGGTGTGACCCCAAAATGAAACAAACAGAGCAGCAATGTATTCCCTAGTGGCAGAAGGGTAGAGGCACATTTACCTTTGAGGAGACTACAAGTCTTTTTTGTTTGTTATGCTTTTTGAGTCACATCCGGTGATGCTCAGGGGTTACTCCTAGCTCTGTACTCAGGAATTACTCCTGGCAGTGCTTGGGGACCATATAGGATGCTGGAAATCGAACCCGGGTCAGCTGCGTGCAAGACAAATGCCCTACCCGCTGTACTAGTCGCTCCAGCTAGTCTTGAGTCTAGAATTCTCAGCACACGAGCACTGAAGCCTTTGAAGATCACTTGAGCCACTTCTACCGAGAATCCTAGCCAATGCACAGCTGCTGGAAACATTAACAGCTTGCCCTGGAACTGTTATACACGTGGCAATTAAGAGTTGGAAACTTGTATCACAGGAAACCGTCATCAAAACCCTCCATGAGATGGGATTTTCGAATGGCTAGATGGAGTCAAAGAGGCTGTTTTGTGGCAGAGCCACAAAGCAATCGCAGCTTCTCTGAGTGGTGCTGCGGCCAGCATGCCCGAGAGTGAAACCAATGAGAATAGCACAGAATCTTCTGGTCAGGGGCTGCAGAGATACTCAGTGGGATCAGCCAAACATTTTGCATGTAGGAGACAGGATTCAATCCCCAATACCACACGGTGCCCTACAATCACCAGGATCACCCTCAATCACAGAGGCAAAATGGCTTCTTAAGCACTGCAGGGTGTAACTCTAAAATCCAATTCAAAATAAATATATTAATGAATTTTTAAGTCCATGTTTTGCAACACCAGAAAAATTTAATGCACACATTAAAAACTGCCAGTGGTTTTTGTTGTTGTTTTTAAAGATTGGAGAAATATTCACTAAACCATTACAAAGAACTGGTATGTGCTAATTTGGACTATTTAATTTTAACATATATTCACAAGTATTCCATGCATTCTAATCTTGTACCAAAGTCAGTTTAGTAACAAATGTTGGCACATTAAAAAACAAAAAAGCTTCGCATAATGGTCGCACTCTACTTTTCTACAAAGAAACTGACATAAAATATGCAAGGATTCTATGGTGAAATGTAATATTTTAAAATTAAATTATAAAGCCCTTTTTGTGCCTTATATAACATGTATCACTGGGTTATATAGAAAAATTCCTAAAATTATTTTAATATGTTGGTCAGTTTTGCTCGATTTGCTCGAGCGGGCCCAGTAACGTCTCCATTGAAGACTTTTGTTGTTACTGTGTCTGGCATATCAAATACATCACGGGGAGCTTGCCAGGCTCTGCCGTGCGGGCCAGATACTCTCGGTAGCTTGCCGGGCTCTCCGAGAGGGGCGGAGGAATCAAACTCGGGTCGGTCAGTTTTATTTACTATAAAATATGTTGTTGGTTATTTTAGGGGGGGGTGGAAGTAAGGGGATCTCCCAAGAAGTGCTCAGGAGACCTGGGAGCCCCTCCAGGGACTCTGGGCCAGCAGTTCAATGCAGGGCCCAAGGATGCAGCAGGGCTCAGGCCCTGCAGTGCTGGGGCCTACCTGGGCATCTAGGTGTGCTTGAGAGTATCCAGGGTCACATGTATGGTGCCTAGGGAGATGTGCAGTGCTGGGAGCGAACTGGGGTTGGTACATGCTAGGCGAGTCCCTGGATTCTCAGTCCCTGTGCGCTCTCTCTCTCTCTCTCTCTCTCTCTCTCTCTCTCTCTCCCTCTTTCCCTCTTTCCCTCCCCCCTCTCTCCTCTCTCTTCTCTCTATCACTTTTGCTCGCTCTCCCTTGCTCTCTCTCTCTCTCGCTCTCTTTCTTTTCTGGCCCCATCTACAAAACGTTTTCAGCAAACAGAGAAAGATTTCTCAAAATCAATATGTAACACAGGGTCAGGGCTCGGGTCAGCTAGGATTGGTACACAGCTGTCCCCTAGAGGAGATACTGAGTCAGGCTGTGGTGAAATCTCAAGCACTTTTACCTTATCTCTCAGTTTTACCAAATAATCAAATGTACATGGAAGTCAATGAGGAAATAGGATCACCTGAAGACGTGGGTTTGGGTCTAACAAAAGTTCCCCTGATAAAGGAATGAGACCACGAGGTGGGCACAATTGAGGCCTTTCTTAGCGGTTTTCCAGGGACTGAGGCAAACAGAGAAATCCCAATGATGGCAGTTCTAGACACACACTGTTATTTGGGATTTGGGGTGAGGGGGGAATTGGTCCACACTGGCAGTGTTTGGAGGCTATTTCTGGTTCTCTGATCCGGGATCACACCTGAGTGTACTCAGAGGTGATGCTGAGGCTCCCATCGGGGCCAGTAGCCTGCAGGTGCCTGTCCTGCCCTAGATATACTAGGTCTTTTGTTTTAAGTTTTTTATTTTATTTATTTATTGGTTTTTGGGCCACACCTGGAAATATTCAGAAGTTACTCCTGGCTCTGCGCTCAGAAATCACTCTTGGTGTGCTCACAGAACAATATGGGATACTGGATATTGAACCCAGGTCTGCCATGTGCAAGGCGAGCGCCCTACCCACTGTACTCTCCAGCCCCGACATACTGTTTTATTAGTCTGCCTGCCTTGAAGGAACAGTCCCCGACTGCAGAGCAGAAAGGTTGCACTGTTCCATCCTCCCATTCCTCCTCAGACCCACAATTGGTTCAGGAGTGGTGACAGGACTCCGGAAGCAGGTTTTCTCCTGGCTTCTTAGAGAGGCCCCAGGAAAGGGCTGCAAAACTGGCATGCAATTCATTCCACCAGGGCTGAGAAGTATTTACCCATTTTGAATTTACCTGTTCACTAAGTTTTACTATACAACTCAAAACTAACAATCACACTGACCACCAAAGCATGGTACTCCTGCATTACTAACACCCAAATAAACAAATCTCTGATAAACAACTGTCCCACAGAAATTTGGGGGATTTGACAAGGACAGAGGGGTGGGGTGTGGCTGATGCTTGTTCCTTTCTCCCCAACCCCACATCTAACCGTCTAGTCCCAATGTTCCTGCTATTCCAATGGTCCAAAATGATGAGTCACCATCTCATCTCTCCAGGACTCTGTGTAGAGTCGGCTTCTCTCCTCAGTCCCTTGCACTTTATCCTCCACAGAATCTCCTGCACAATCTTTTTATGAGGTACAACGGATCTTTCCTTACAGTCCCTGCTTCACAACTCAGGATATAGGACAGCAGTTGCCTGGTGCACCTGTCTGGCATGCACCAGACGCGGGTTTAACTCTCCATATCATATGGTCCTTGAGCATTGCCAGGTGCAGCTCTGGAGACCCCAGAACTGCTGGGGTGGTGTAGGTGTCCCCAGCACGGAAGGACCTGAGCAGCACTTCATCCTGAGACCATACACTGAACCCATGGCTCAGATGGCAAAGAATCCCCAGTGGGGGACCTGAACCTCCTGGGCACTTTTTGGGAGACCCCTCTGTTTCTTCTCCCCGAAAGAAAAGAACCCTCCAAAGATTTATCATTGCACTTGGTGTGTTTGTGTGTTTGTGTGTGTATGTGTCTGTTGTGTTGGGTGGGGGTCTAGAAGACTGTGCTCAGGGATCACACTCAGGGGATGACATCTGTTAGTGCTGAGGGCCTAACTGAGATCAGCTGAGTGCAAGGCAAGCCCCTAGCCCCTGTGTTCTCTCTCTATCCCCTTTTCATTTTTGTTTGCCTATTTGTTTTGCAGTGTTGGGGATTCAACCCAGGGTCTCATGCCTGCAAGGCAAGTGCTATACCACTGAGCCACATCCTGGTCCAGATGAGTCTTTCTTCTTTTCTGTTTTCTTTTTTAATTTCAATTTTTAGGCTATGCACAGCAGTACTCAGGGGCTATTCCTGGCTCTGTGCTCAGGAGTCATCCGAGAGCACCATATGTGGTGCCAGGGATTGAAACAGGGTGGCAGCTGATGCTCTCACATGCAAGGCAAGTGCCCTACCTCCTGCATTATCTATCTCTCCAGCCCAGATGAGTGGCTGAGCCTTTTTTTCCTTTGATGATATATCTTGCAGTTTGTGCAGCTCTTACAACATGTCCCACTGGCTTTCCACAGTGACATAAAAGAAACAAAAATGAATCTCTCTCCCCACGCCATGTAGCCAATGGAATCCTTCCCATTCATCTAAGTTTCCAACTAAGAACTGGCAGAGACCAGGTCTTGCAGTACCATGTCTGCCCACAAAGCCCCCCAGGGCTCCCCACATACCCCTGACTAATGTCTACTTACCTAGTTAGCGGCAAGAAAGTCAAGAAAGATGGAATGCTTAAGAGTGAAAAAAATAATCAGGCAGAGAAACGGATTTTCCCCACTGTCTTCTGGCCTGTCTGCAATCTTGCGAAACACTATTAGAAGCTAATCATCTCTGACAACTTGTAAGTTTCAAAAGTATCTTACAGAATTACATCACTGCTAAAACCCCCAATATATCTGGCTTTCGATTTGTGACAAACTAAATGGATATTTGTACTGATTTAGATGGAAATAATTTCACCAGGGAATCCAGATGGCATCAGAAACCACAGCAGAGCAGGGCCATGATCTATGAAGTCACGCACAGACACCTACAACACAGGATTTAATGAATGCCACACTGTTGCGGAATCTTCAAGACACA